TCTAAATTTTTACAACTTCAATTAGTAAATCAGTTTTAATTTTGGTTCACCCTAATCACCCAGCCTTTGTCTCCTGAGAGATATTAGTCGATCATTCCTGTTTTGTAAGTCCTTGTGTAGACAGTTTTAGGGAAATCAGACAGGTTCTGAGGGAATATGTATGTTAGGGGGTATGTATCATGGTATCAAATACTAAAATTAATTTACAAAATTGAAAAAGTTTAAATTGAGCAAGGAGTAGATTATTCAGATCTAACTCTATGCCGAGCTCATCTAGATCTTCATTAAGCACTATACCTAATATAGTAAATGAAGAAGAACATGAGTTTGGAGAAACAAGAGTAGATTGAACTGGATGGAATATCCCAAAAGTATCCCATCGAGACATCTATAAAACTAGTTGTCTCCTTAAAGCCTTTAATGAAGAATTATAAGTAAAAACTATTGAACAAGTATATCCTCTTTTTAAGGATGAAATAACTTGTCAACTGTTATGTCCCAAAACCCTTAAAAAACATAAGGAAAAAGGATTTAATTTTATTCACCTTGGGTTGGGTTAGTACAAGTGACAATTATACCATCAACCCAACAAGGAAAATATTTAGCAGCCATGTTAACTTTGAGAGATGCTAGGTTTTTAGAATATGAACCTAGTATCATTGGTATAATGGAAACAGGTCTCCATAAAGGACCAATTTATTTTAATTATTTTCCTGATTTTACCTTAAGTTTAGGATGCAAAAATACTCCTTTGGCTTTAACCTTAGGAATAAAGCTTATAGAAAGTATCACTAAATTGGTAAAAGAAACTGAATCAATAGTACTTATCTACAGGATTTACTATAAATGCATTACCACAAACCTAAATGTGCGTGCATTATAGAAAAGTCCTTTAGGAAGCACTACACTGATTCAAGCCAGTACTAGTCAATCTAATATCCAAGCTCCTAAGCAAATCCTTTGGAATGATATAACGCTCTCAGAATCTTGGATAGTAAAAAATGAAAATCATGATAAAGATAATGAAAATACCACTACAAACGTAGAAAGCATCCACCAATTATCGGATGGCTTAGTAAGAATCTCCTTTGATTCTGCAAGATCCAGTAGATGAAGCAGAACATTTAATAAATCTATTCAAATTAATGATGGTAAATAATCTGAATCTAGTTCTAGACTCTCTAAACGAGATCAAGAAATAAATAAAGAAATTAAAAGGAATTGATAATTCCTCTTCACAAATTAGTAAGCCATGTTATACTCCACACCAGAGTATTCCACAACAAAAAACAGAAGAAGATGATGAAGAAGAAGACTTCACCCCTTCTCCTACTACTAGTGACCTCCAGAGTAACGCCCCAGTGAACCACCAGTTACTCATGATTAGGAAAGAGTCTAGTACCCTATTCATGCCTGATATGAATAGATTAAAAATAGACTTTGAATCATCTGAAAATAAATCTAAAAGACATAATTACTTTAAAAGATTCAACCCACAACAACAGATCGAGATAAAAAGACAATGGGTTAAGGTAATGTATAAACTAAAAGCTAAAATCCTATTCTTTGATTATCTTGATAACTTCCATAAATAAGTTAATGTTGTTACACAATACAAGTGAAAAACAAAAAAGTCCACTATATCATCTAGTCGCCCTCTAGTGGAAACCATAGTTATTGACCATGGTAGATCTGTAGTTGCCTCACCTTTCAAACTCTCCACTGATGAGTCTGAGAAAATAATTGTTGAACAAAATAATTTTACTAACCAAAGCTTAATTAATATTGGCAAACAGTTAGATAAAATTGAAAATAAAATTGATGAAATCAAACCAGGTATTAAATTAGAACAACCTCTAATTCATCTACCTGCAGACCGCAGTAAATTAGGAGTTAAAGATAGTCAAAACATTGAGAAGATTGAAAAGTTTATTTCTAAAATGAAGCTAAAAGAACCATCTTCCAAAAAGAAAGAAGGTCCTTCTCAAGTTACTGTCATTAATCAAACCTCTAATGATTCATCAGATGTTTGCTTTGTAAGTTCCTCTGATTCTGAGATTAATAAATTAGAAGAACAGTTTGGTAACCAACAGATTAACAAATTAACTTTTTCAAATGTTAATCCAACCAGTATTAGTAAAAATTGGTATACCAAACCAACACCACCTGATCTTCAATTTGAAGAAAAAAATATCAGTAATCATTTTTCTATTAGTCTAACAAACTATATGAATGGAACATAGATGATTTAAGTGAACAAGAAATCCTGAATAAAATCAACCACATGTCCATGGTGATTAACAACTATGTCACCAACCTTGACCAATCTGAACCTGAGATAGTTGACCTTATTACCTAAGGATTCACTGGTATGTTACATAGTTGGTGGGACAATTATCTTACTCAGGAAATTAGAAATGAGATTAAGTATGCTATTGTTAAGGATGATGATGGTATACCTGTATTTGACCAAGCTCTTGGCCAAGGTAGACCTGATGGTATAAATACTCTCATTTATACCATTATTAAACATTTTGTTGGCACACCTAGTTCCATTGAAGCTAGGATTCATGACCAACTTAGTAACCTTAGGTGCCCAACACTTAGTGATTTTAGATGGTACAAGAATGTATTCATCTCTGGAGTCATGCTTTGTCCAGATTACAATAAGTCTTTCTGGAAAGAAAAATTTGTTAATGGCCTCCCTAATCATTTTGCCCATAAGATTAGAGATGCACTTATTAAAGACACGGGAATCATAGAATATGATTCTCTTACCTATGGTAATCTTCTTAGTACCATCCAAAAGGAATGTCTTAAGATGTGTATTGACATGAAACTCAATAAACAATTAGCCAACGACAAGAAAAAGACTAAATATGAAATGAAAAATTTATGCGAACAATATGGTCTCCCTTCAGTAGCACCATCTGCCAGTAGAAAACACAAAACCCATAAACCTTATTCCCGAAGCAAAAGTCATTACTCTCGTGGTAAACAGACTTCTAGCCAACCTAGTTTTTTATAAAAAATTCTATATATATATATATATATATATATATATATTATATATATATACACACACCACACACCTAATGAGGAAACAAATAACATAATAAACACTCACTTTCAAAGATATAATTTTCAAATGAAATCACGCAAAAATAATATTTTGATATTAGTATCATTAAATTGTACATGTACAATGCATCATCATCAAATAATATAAATGAATAAAAAAAGTTATGATCACAATTTCAAATTGTCATTGCAACTACACAGTGATACCCACTCAGGAGAAAGTAATTACAAAACAATCAGTTGAACTTATAAGATGTAATGGGAAGAAACTTCTATTCTCACTGTGAAGGATATTGTCTTACTAATTCTCATAGTGTCCTTCCCCACTATCAGTACATTTCAATGCTCTCAGAGTCAACGACCAACATCACGACCTGAACTAGGGGTTGAACATGTAGCTTATGTGTAACTACTCAAAGATACATCAAAAGAGAATAAACTAACAACATAGCATAGAATCTTACCCCATTGAAGAACAGGAAACTCCCACCTCTGTTTGGGAATTGTAATAACATATGATGCAACCTACAAAGAATTGAGAACTCTTTAAAAGGAAGAAAAATGGGGGGGGGGGGGAAATGCAATAGATTACTATAGTAAATGTTGAAAATTTAGAAAACTTGCCAATATGCATGCAGCTAGAAAATGAGGAGAACTATGAAGAACAAACGTCTCCTCCTTTTCATAGAGAATATCCATAATATCCATGCATGCTTCAAAGCTCAAGTGTTCCCCAACCCTTGAAACTCCCCTGAATTCACATAAAGTATAGAAGAAATGAAACAAGTGACCCTATAAGGATTACATATTAATTGAAGGGATATCTAACAAAATGATTGTTCTAATGAAGAAAGAATCCACCCAGCCTGTAGCACAAAAATACAGAAAAAAACCCACCATATACCAAAATCCATCAATGGTGGTTCCATGTAGTTCCTGTTCTTCTACAAGAAAAGTGGGCAATGAACCGTAAGAACTTTTTTCAACTGACTTCGTCAAATAAGCATAATCTTTTGAAATCACCACCAATTTATCTAGTGTTCATGAGGACTACTCAAATTAGAATGGTTTGCATGATAAAGGCACCTGCTCAAGCTTATGTTATGCCCAACAAAGCTCCAATTTATTGACATGAAAAATTTGTTTAATTTGTACAGTATGCACATTATAAATCTCAGGAAGGAAAGGAGCATAGGATCTTAATCTGGTTTCATAAGGCACAGAGATTGCTCATCATTGGGTTTCTCAAATTCATGAACTTCAGAAAATCTATTAAAAGCAATGAAAATAAATAATTGACTTTAAGTTGCAACATGAGCAGATTGACAAAGCACAACACTCTTTGCATCATAATTGACACTAGCATGGTTGGGGATGTAACCAGTAATTTGTAATTTATATTCCTTGGAGTTGAAACTCAAAAGTGATAGTACACTATATCTTAATAATCTCATTTGCTTCATAACCTTCACCCCAAATAAAGATACAATAACACTTCAACTAAATTACTCTACTTTATTCTACACAAAATACTCTGATATCTTATCCTTTATGTTGAATCATGCTAGTGTTGATCACTCAATTTGACATTTTCTAACCATTTTAACATTCCAACAAGAGCAAAAAGAGCAAATCAAATTCTAGAGCTTAAAACACTTTTTGGCTTGTATAGTGAACATATTTTCCTATTTATTTCATAGGGAAAATAAAAAGAGCTAAATAAATTGACAAACATGATCACAGTATAAAATTTCTACGGGGGATCTCATCAAAAAATGTGCCCAAATTCTTTCATTGACTAGCAAGCCTAGGAAAACATTGTTAATTTAAGCTAGTGGAAGCAACAAAGAATTAAGTAGCTAAGCACAAGAAAACATTAACTGTGGAAATTGCAGTAATCGATTCGAATAACGATCCAATTAGTTAGGGTCAACTTGCTCTCCAATTGGAAAGACTTTGAGTACTTGGATCTGACTCCAAGCAAGCTGGAAAATGCTACCTTCATAAGGTGTTTTTGATGGCCCCTAAAAACACAACAAAGTGAAGCAACACTATAGCACAATCAATCTTCTCTCTCAATCCAAATCCAAAAACATACATACCTTAATAAGAGATGTCCATTTAAATATATTGGAATCATCACAAACTAATTGAATATCTGGATCAGCCGCTTTGTCCCTCTGAACCTCCTTGCATTCCTTGAAAAGCCTTGCTCTTGATGCCTGAACTTAGCATAAACACCATATATAGGGCACAAGGTAGCATCAATTAATCACTGTTGAATTTACAAAAGAGAAGACATACACAACCAGCCATAAAAAGCATCCTAGTACCACAATTAAACACCGACTAACCTGCATCTTTAATTATACTCATTATCTTTTGATTTGATACAATTCAAAACTCGAACAAATCTGAATTCCAAAAAAACTGCATAATTAAAAAAGACACTTCAATCAATCACTCGACCACGATCGATTGATAGAGAGAGAGCGAGAAAAAAAAATTAGCAGACAAATACGAAGCTAATTTGAAGCCGTAGCTTAATACCTAATTTCTCAGAATCCAAACATTGTAAATGTAAGACCTGAACACGCATGACCAATATATAATATTTGTCATAAGCATATTCACATGTGACATGCATGCATATGATTGACATTTACTATGTATGTATGCTAACATTTGGTTTTATCTACATGTAAATGATTATCTGTTTCTATGTGACTTTCTAGCTTATGAGTTCTATTGTAAATAAATGGCTTGAGTATTCAAATGTTATGATAGGAATAAGATGTCTTCGTGACAGACTATAATATTATAGTTTAGTTATCTGTATGACAAGTGAAAAGAAAATTCAAATGGTTGAGACGATAAAGGGTCGAAAGTCTATGTGACATATTTTATTTGTGTAGTGAAGACATCAAAGGAATGAAAGCGAATTATTAGACTGTGATGTCTACGTGACTAAAAGTAACCCAAGTGTTCAAATTTATCCTCGTGACTGAGATAAGTTAAAGTTGATTTCGTCTACGTGATAGAAGCTAAATTTTTGATGTGATGCGAGTTATTCAAAAAACAACAAAAAAAAATATCGAGAAAAGGATACATTTTGTTAAATTGTCTATGTGACGATCGTATACTGATATGGTGATTAACTTGTATGGTGTTTTGTCGCCTGGGTGGCAAGACGGTTTTTTTTTTGTGAAATCGTAGCGTAATGAAATAGAATATCAGGAAATATTATGGAACCACGAATATTATTGTATGATTTTTTGTTGCCTGGGTGACAAGATGATTATTTCTGTGTGAAACCGTAGCGCAAGGAAATAGAATTTTGAGAAAAGATATGGATACAAGAAAATTAAAAGTTCATAAATGAGCAAGGACATCACATTTTTTTCTTTGCTCTATCTCTGAAATCATTAATGAGAACTCACTGAAATTTGCCTGAAAACTTTTCAGGTAAACTGTACACAAGCTTGCAGTCCACTGTCGCAGCTAGAAGTCCAATCAGGAGTGTCGGGAACAGCTCGTGTCAATTTCTTATGTTTGTTTTAAAAAAAAAAATTTGGGTTATATATGATGTCAATATTTTGGTTTTGTCATGTAGGCAACACTTGTAAATATTTTTAGGATATGTATATTCTACATGGTAGCAGGCTTGTGAGTCACGCGTATATGAATTTTCTTTAAAAAATAAAAAAAAAATGATCCTAAGATAAATATTTCTAGGATTGGTTTTCTTAAAGTGTCATGTTATAATGTGTTTTTAATAGTGGGATTGCCTAAATTTTATTTTTATCATAATAGTGTAGTGGGATTGGGGTGTTTCAATTTTTGGTATCAGAGCCTAGATTTATAGGTTCTATAGACATAAATGTCTAGGTCAGTAGTGGACTGGTTAAGTTATTTGAGTCAGTGAGAAGAAATGGGTTAAGATGCTAATGCTAAGTACATGTGTATTTGTGTACGTTGTGAACTACAACTAATTATTGAAAGCATAATGGATCCTTCCGAGGGTCAAAATCAAGGGGAAGCTGAAGGTTTGTATGCTCTTGTTGTGGCTGAGACAGGGGAGGGACAACAACAAAAGGGTGGGGAAGGTGAACATAATCAACCTAATATGATTTAGAGAGCGTTGGAAATGATGGTGCAGGTGGCGGCGTCAACAAATTGGATTGTGGAATTGCAAATAGAGATTCAGGTAGCCACTAGGGCAAGTCCACATGAACCCCTTGGGGAACCGCGAGGTACGGTTCATGAGAGGTTTATGAAGCTGGATTCTCTGATGTTTGCAGGGACAATTAATCCATCTGAGGCGGAGGACTGGCTAAAACAGATAGAATCAATTTTTGAAGTTAATGCAACTCTATGATGATCAACGAGTGACACTTGCATCCTTTATGCTTAAGGAGGAAGCACGATTCTGGTGGGAGGCTATCAGGTGACTATTGTTTGCACCGGTAGTAGGAGTTGAAGGTCAAGTAGCCGGTAATGTGGCTCCAACACCATTGCATATTACTTGGGATCAATTCGTGAAAGTGTTCAATGACAAGTATTTTCTTGAGTCTTGTCGGTATGAACAGGAGATAACATTTATGACTCTGACTCAAGGCAGGATGTCGGTGGCAGAGTATGAAAAGCAATTCACTACATTGTCACGTTTCGCAAAGGCTTTTGTTCAAACTGATAAGGGTCTATGCAAGAAGTTTCAGTGGGGATTAGCTTACCCAATATGGAGTCAACTTTCAGCCTTTGAGTTAACAAGTTATGTGACCTTGGTTAATAAAGCTTTAGTTGTTGAAAAAGATGTAAAAGAGTCAGAGGGGCGACGGGAGCAATGCAAGAGGAGAAAGTTCGACACCGTTCTTAGTATGGGATCTTTATCTGGGGGTCAGACTTCATGACAGAAAAGGCAAGGATCAAAGTTCTCACAAACAAGAGGTGTTGGAAATTCTCGTAAATCTAGTGGTTCACGGGGTTATACTTCCTTTAAACCCCCGACAAGATTTAATGGCAAGGGACAATCGAGTGGACGAGACACTCATGTTACTTGTTTTAAATGTGGAGTGGAAGGTCATATCGCTCGGAACTGTCAAACAAGATCAGCTAGTGGAGCTCGACGATGTTATGAGTGTGGGAAAGTGGGGCACTTTGCATGTGAATGTCCAACCAAATCTGTTATGTCACCTTCAGTGGGCAGTGTATATCTGGAAAGAAGAGATACATCAATATCGACAGGGATGCAAGGTGCAGGTAAGGGGTCTGTTGGTGCTACCGGGACCCAGGGACGGGTTTTTGTTATGACACTGCAGGATGCTTATGCGTCACCTAATGTGGTTACAGGTACAATTTCTGTATTAGGTGAAAATGCTCGAATTTTAATTGATCCCGGATCCACACACTCTTTTGTTGCACACACCTATAGTAAACATTGGAAACACCCTGCCACACCTTTGAATTATCATTTATCCATAGCAACCTCAGTGGGTGAGGTAGTGGTAGTTAGCACTGTTTATAAGGATTGCATAATTCGAATTGACACACGAGAATTATTCGTGGATTTACTTCCACTCGATATGTGTGACTTTGATGTGATTTTGGAGATGGATTGGCTATCGGCCTATCATGCCTCAGTTGACTGTTATAAAAAGAGGTTACTTTTCAACCACCTGGCGATGCCGCATTTAAATTCCAAGGTGAACGGAAAGTAACTCCAAATTATCTTATATCAGCAATCAAAGCTCGAAGGTTGCTTAAGAAGGGATGCCAAGGTTATTTGGCATATGTGAGGTGTGTGGGTGAGGATAAAGTTGAACCAACAAAAGTACCAATAGTGAAGGACTTCCTTGATGTTTTTCCGGATGAATTACCTGGGTTGCCACCTGATCGGGAAGTAGAATTTGTGATAGAATTACTACCCCAGAATTGCACCCATATCAATCACCCCATATCGAATGGCACCAGCTGAACTAAAAGAGTTGAAGGAACAGTTACAAGATTTACTGAATCGGGGTTTTATTCAACTGAGTACTTCACCATGGGGAGCGCCAGTGCTATTTGTGTAAAAGAAGGATGGTACTATGCGGCAGTGTATTGATTATTGACAACCTAATAAGGTAACTGTTCGCACTAAATACCCATTGCCACGAATAGATGATTTGTTTGACCAATTGCAGGCAGCAAAAGTATATTCCAAAATTAATTTAAGATCGGGATATCACCAGTTAAGGGTAAAGATAATTGATGTACCAAATACGGCATTTCGAACTAGGTACGGGCACTATGAATTTCTAGTTATGCCGTTTGGATTAACAAATGCTCCGACTGCTTTTATGGATTTGATGCATAGGGTGTTTCAACGCTACTTGGATTTATTTGTAATTGTGTTTATAGATGATATTTTGGTGTATTCTCGTAGTGAAGTAGAACATGAGCAACATTTGCGAATTGTTTTACAAACTTCAAGAAAAAAGCAACTGTACGCCAAATTCAGCAAATGTGAATTTTGGATGGATAACGTGGCATTTCTTGGACATGTGGTGTCAAAAGATGGTATTCAAATGGATCCAAAGAAAATTGAAGTCGTGGTAAAATAGGAGCAACCAAGGAATGTAACAAAAGTAAGAAGTTTCTTGGGATTGGCGGGTTACTATTGTAGATTCATTCAAGGATTTTCCTCAATTGTGATGCCATTGACCCACCTCACTAGAAAGGATGTTAAATTTCAATGGGATGATAAGTGTAAACAAAGTTTCCAAAAGTTGAAAATAAGGTTGGTTTCTGCACCTGTTTTAACCATTTCAACAGAAGGCGGGAATTTTGTAGTATATAGTGATGCCTCACATCGGGGGTTGAGCTGTGTATTAATGCAAAATGGGAGGGTAATCGCCTACGTTTCTCAAAAATTAAAAACTCATGAGCGTAATTACCCTACCCATGATTTGGAGTTGGCTGCAATTGTGTTCGCCTTGAAATTGTGGAGACATTACCTATATGGAGAAACTTGTGAAATTTATACTAATCATCAAAGCTTAAAGTACTTGTTAACGCAAAAGGAGTTGAATTTACGACAGAGGAGATAGATGGAGTTATTAAAGGATTATGACTGCACTATTCATTATCATCCAGGGAAAGTAAATGTAGTGGTAGATGCGTTGAGTCGTAAATCATCGGGATTGTTATCATGTGTGCAATGTGCGCGGGTGAATGCCTTGGCAGAGCTAACGGCTTTAGGTGTGGAATTTCAACTGTTAGGAGATGATGTAATAATGGGGCAAATTAAAGTTAGAATAATATTTGAAGATCGGATCCGTGATGCATAACTACAGGATTCATTTACGAAGAAGATGAGGGA